TCAAGAGTCCTTCCGAATCCATGGTTTCCAAGATACACAAGTACACGAAGATATCTTTCTGCACATAGTGTTTAGGTAAACACTGAGTAAACGCTATGCTACTGGTCTTGCTGCTAGAATCCTTCACAGGGGAGATGTGGAAAGTAGAGAAAACATACAGAAGTGCTCTTACCCAAGCGTAAGTAATGGCCAGGGTGGACCAGGGAAGATCACATGTAAGCTGCAAGTGAAATCTAAGCAATCATAATTTAATATTTGGCTTTGGTGCTTGGTTAACAATTTTCATGCAATATGAGAAAAAAATTAAATCAGACTTAATTTGGTCTGACTTAATCTTCTTAGTAAGTGTTGTTCTGATTATTATCAGGTTAAGTTTAACATCATTATGTTCTTGATACAAGACTCACAGCATGTGGCAAAGGGCTGTGAGGGCTTTTCCATGGATGAAATGAGAAGTTACTTAACAGGACGGGGTGGGAAGGAATCACAGTGTGTTATATTTTGACTTACCAATTATATTTATTGGTTATTGATGGACTGATTTATTATGTCCTACGATGTGGAAGAAATTCACCTCTACCCCAGATGTTATTACTGCAACTGTGACAACCACTTCAAAAAGTTAATTACATGAAAGAAATAAACATCAGATGTGCCCAGTTTTGGATTAATTTTCCTTTTTCCTTCAGTCCCTGTAACCGATACAAGTGCATCAATTACAAGCTCTCCTGGTTTGGGACCCTCAGAATATTTTGCCATCCCTTTGGAGAAGACTGTGTCTCCTTTATGTTACTCTGTGTTTTAATTACAGAGTTCTCTCCATATCACACTCTGGACAAGTCACCAGAAAATTTTTGACCACTTCACCTTTTTTATGGAAAACCTCCAAGTGTTCTTTATATTGTCTTAGAAAATCTAAACTTTGCCATGAAACTTCAGAACATGGACACTTTACTTTTTAAAACTATCTTTACTTTGTTAAAATATCTTTTCTTCTTATAGTCTACTAAAGAGGTAGAGAAATTGGAAAAGGTAATGATGGAGAAGAAAGAAATGATCATTCTTTGAATTCCAATTCCTCCTGACCTTGTCTCATAAATAACTGTGAAAATATAGGCACTGGCTGTTTTCTATCCTGCCTTGAAGAAAATGACATTAAGAGAGGTTTGCCCTAGTAATCTGATTGCCAGAGCTGAAATTTTGATCTTGGTCTGCCGAGAACCTTCTTTTTCCAAGATCCCACTCATTGTACTTAGGCAAGTTGCTCCCTCACCACCAGCAGTCAGGATCAGGAATGCTCTTTATGCCTCACTTTAAAACTCCAGCTCCCACACTGCCTGCCTGAACACTCCTGGGATCTCACTTTTAGGTGATCTGAAAGGTTAGGCACTTTTCTGACCTTCAAACTGGGGAGGCATCCCTCTTATGTTCTGATAATATCTGTTTTATCCTAACACATCTTTTAAAAAAATATTTATATATGCATACGGAACTGGGGTATAAGCCAGAGGTGCAGGGGTGGTGAGAGGCTTCACCAGAGACAGAGTGGAAAGCAGAACAGGCACATTGACAGGGTACACTGCTGAGGGGAGCAGCGGGCGGGCCAGGAGAGGTCTGTTGTGCCACATGGGTCACCTCCATGAGGGCTCTATACCACATCTTTTTAATAAATATTTTTATTGATATATAGAACAAACAGAGAAAAGTGTATATGTCACAAGTATATAGTTTGATGAAATATTAGGAAGCAAAACCACTTCCTGAAACCACCAATCTGAGTAAGAAATTGACATCACAAGAAGACCACTTCCATTCATGTCCCTTCTTTGTTACTTCTACCCTCCTAATCTCCCCAAAGGTGTCTTGACATCTATAGAAATTTGTTTTGTTTGTGTGTTTTCAAATGTTATATACAGCAAATCATAGGTCTGGTTTCTATGCTTGTGACAGTTTCTTGTTGTGTGCAGCAATTTTTGATTCATTTTCATTAGAATATAGTATTCCATTAAATGAAACCACACTCATTGTTTTACTGTTGATTCATGTTTTGAGTTGTTCCCACTTGGGAGCTAGTTTGAATAGCACTGCTATGAATATTATTGATATTTTAAAATTGAAGTAGAAATAAACCAGGGAGTAGAACTACTAGATTCTAACTTATATGTATGTTCAGCTTTAGTAGATAATGCCAAACAGCTTTCCAAAATGGCTGTGTGAACTTACACTCCTACTGCAACTTGTATTTCTAGTTATGAACATCAATTGCTGATAGTCTCTATGTTATAATTACAAATTTTCTCTTTCTCTTTGCCTAACATTAAGTCTCAGAGCCATTATTAAAAGTCTGGTGGAAGAAGCACACAATTGTTTGCTTCTATATTCTTTGATCATTTGTTAGGCAGTATTGAATCATAAGTACAGGCTTCGGGGTTAGACAATCAAGATTTAACTTCTAACATTACTACTTTATTAAATAGCAAATTACCTTCCTGTGCTAATTTCTTCAACATTGACATCCCAGGAATATTCTGAAGATTAAATAGAATATAAAATACTTTAAACAGCGGCTGGCATATAGTACACGTTCAATAAGATTGGCTTTTACTGTTATTGAATCCTCAGGGCCCATATACCATTAAACTCCCTGGAAATAGAATTGGTTAGTAAGACTATTTAGCATCCCTTCTTGTGAAGCTCTAGACAATTGACCCCCCAACAACCTCTAGACCTCTGAGCCTCTTACCCCTTTGTCATACCGGCCTATACCATGGGGAGGTGTTGTGTCCTCACAAGTAGATGGTGACTACTTTAAGCACAGAGACTGGCCTGCTCTTCATAGTAGCAGTGGTTTCTGAGTCCCTTTGAACTTGTGGACTCTCAGTTGAATAAATTCCTTACCACACATGTTTGAGCAGAGAGCTCTCAAGTGAGTTGTACTTTTTTTCCAAGCGTGATGCTCAAAAGGGTTTCAAAAGCTGGCAAGGCTGTGGCCAGCTCACTAGATAAATGCTACTTCTGCACATATGCCATTTGACATCTCAGTGCCTAGTAAATATTTGCTTTTTAAAAAATTGATCCCTTTTTCTTGCATGACTTCCTTGTTCCCTTCCCACCCACTTATGCTTGGTCTGGTCTCCTCCCATTTGTGTCACAGTGCTCAGGACGCCTCTGGTACTTTCATTCTGAGCAATGCAAATCAGATCTTATATAGTAGATGACTATAAGCCAATAAACCAAACTCTTACTCTTCAAAATTCAAAAACTTCATATTCTGTGACTGAACTCTCTGGATTATCTATAAATTGGAGAATCCTAGCTTGCAAGAACTCTGTTTAGCATTGAATGGTGATTTAAGCACATTCTGTTCAAGGGATTCACAAGTGTTATTGATAATAAAAATGAGGGAGAGGTGGCAGAAAAGTTTCCAACAGAGCACATTAGTCTTTACTTGGAAAATATAGACTTTAGATTTGCTTAGTCACTGTAGTTTAGTTTGACATTTGATAGATGAGTCATTTTAAGTCATTGTAGTTATAGACTATAGAATAATAGCAACTCAACCACAGAGGTTGGTCTGACCTTCAGCAAGAAGTCATTGACCTGCTTCCATGCCTTCACTGGATCCTGAGGGAGGAAGACAGAGGACTGAACTGGTAGAATGGTGGGGAGGGGTGAGGTAAAAGGGCTATGAGAAGAGGGCAAAGGATCACAAATTTACCTGGGAAATCCTGTGCAAACTGAATGGTCAGTAGAGGGGAGCATATTAGACTGACACACAGGTTAAGGCAGCAGCAAGATCAACTGTTGAGGACTTCCTTTTTGTTAGAAACTTGTGTATTGGCCCTCCCTGGTGGTGCAAATGGCTAAGACATAGCACTGTAAGCTGGCCACAGCTGCTTCAGTGTGAGTTCAATCTCCCCACCCCTAAGGTGACCCACATAGTGCAGCAGACCTCACCTCTCTCACCCACTGCTCCCCTCAGCAGTGTAATTCGTTGATCTGCCTGTTCTATTCTCCACTGCCTCTGGTGAATCCTCTCACCACCCCTGCACCTCTGGCCTGTACCCCAGCTCTGTTTGCATAAATAAATAAATAAATAAATAAAACTGTGTAAAAGGCATACAAAAATGAAAAATTCCAAACAATTTGCATGTGAGTAAACATGTTCAAACAATTTGGATGCAAGATGCAAATAGTTTGGATGCCACTTTCCCCTCTCCCACAATAAATATTACAGATGAGTTCAGAAATGACCTTTTTATTTCAAAGCTGTGTCTGCTGGGCCCTACAGTGCTGGGTACACCCCAGTCTAGAGGCTCCTGGCTAGGATTGTTTTCTCTGGAGCCTTCTCTTCGCTGGAATGAACTTTGTTCAGATCTGAGTAATCTCAGAAAACCAAAGTCCTGCCAGCTCAGCTTTCTGGGGTAATACCCACGTACAACAAATGCCATCATCTTCTTTAGTGGCATTCCCCTTACCCTAGATTCCTATTTTGATTTCTATTTCAACAAACTGCTTAACTGAAAAATTCTGCCTTTTTCATCAGGCTATTAAGGGCACAGATAAGTCTGCTTGGCTCAATGCTCTCTCCTCAGTACTCAGAAGAAATGTTAGGCCCAGAGTAGACATTCAAATATTTGTTGAAAGAATTAGTTATTACTTAAGGAAGCCAAATGTGGGGACCATCAATCAACTTTATTGGGCAGGAAATAAAAACAGGGAACTTCATGGCTGTCCTTGAGATAGGTATGCTGAAAGTATTTGTCTGAATGGATTTAATAATGAATCCATATGAATGACTGACATCACAAGGATGCTAAGAAGCTTTGGATATAAGCTAACTTGAAGATCTTAGATTCCTCTGGAGTCACAAGTGCTGTTGTTCTATGCAGACCACTGAGCTGCGTATCACAGCATTTTCATGCTGCTTAATGTTAAACAGATCCATTATTTTTCCCTTCACTGAAAAATACAGAAGCACACCATGACACAATTTATGCAAATATTTTTCAAGGTTTTATTGCAAACCAAAATTGGTTTATCACACACAAAAAAAGTTGTGTGGTTGGATGGGGGAAGAATTGTACATATTATAACCATGTTAATTACAGTACATTAAAATGGTGGTTTACATTACAAATAAGCCTGTAAGTTTAAATATACTAGTGTTATAATCCAATGTACAGACTTTCTTTATACAATACATACAATTATCAGGAATGCAAAAAAAAAAAACCCATAAATAATGCCCATTTTACAGGTGACATTTTAAACAATGAAAACACCAGGCTTGACTGACAACTGGGGCATTGGTCCATAAAAACCCTTTCTAAAAATAGAAATATTTGTAGCAGCAATGCTTTCTTTTAAGCATCTGGATACAAGTCATTGCAAGACCTTTTCAATAATTTTTAATTAACTATATCTTACAAAAACAAGTCTACGCGTAAATTTATCTTCCAAATATGGAAGAAACAAACAATGTCCCACGTTGTAGTGTCCTGCAAGTGTCACATTGATGCTGATGACTCAATCCATCTGTGATCAAGCACACCACACTCATACCGCTGTTTGGACAGGACAGTCCACAAAGAAAAGCAAAGAACTGAAACAATCCGCAAGAGGAAAGGCTTTGGAGCTAACACGATCTCATCAGAAAAGGCACATTTCATAAGATTCGATATCATGGCCCAGACAGGCTTTCTGACACTCCCTCGGGCGGCGTCTTCCTCCTAGTAAGACCACGGCCTCTGTCAGGGCGCACTCCACTGCTCACTTCGGAGATAGCACCACGTTGGAAGGAAGAGTAAAAATGAAAACCTCAGGAGCTCACTGAGAAGATGTGCTCTTCGAAAAGCTTCCAGCAAACAGTGTGCAGTTAAGATTGCCAAGGTGTGCAAGCTTCCAGAGATGTGCAAATTCTCTTGTACGATGTCCGTCAGCTGGCAGCTCCGCCGAAAGGCTAACTAACATTAAAAACGCACAGAAATCCTTGGAGGCCATGCCTCAGACAGTTCAAAGGAAAGAGTCCATGGGCGGTGCATAGGAGAAGCCCAGGAAGGCCTCTGCAGCTTCCTTGACGCTGGCTGTGAGGAGGATGCTGTCGGGGGACCTGCCGATGGAGCTGGGCACAGGCTCTTCGGTGAACTCGGGATCAAAGTGCCTCAGATCGCTGGGTCCACTCTATTGGAAGAAGGGGTAACACGGTCCGGGTCAATCATCTGCCCTGGGCATGAGGCAGAGGAATGCTCCCTTGGGCTTGAAATACGGGGCACCATATGGAAATGTGTCTAGCAGTCTTCTCATTCAAGCATGAAACCCAAGGTCAGACATTTTAGATAAAGGGGATAATATTGCCTTTATCTTTTGGTACCTTCACTGATTAATATGGCAACACTGGCTTTGTTGGACAAAACTGCTATTTTATTCTCTAGGTAATTGACGGGTCTATGAAAAAAGCCTCTGCCAATTTATCTTGGTGGGCCATGCCCCCCCCCAACTCACTCCCCCAAAACTTAGATTGAAAATCATATGCTCCATCCACTTAGAAGATACTCACCACGTTTGGGTTAAAGGGAGGAGTAATTTTCTTATTAATGAGATCATCCCAGTTAATTAGGGAGAAGAAGACGTGATTCTTAATCTCCATCTGTTGAGAAGAAACACAAAGTTCATTTAGACAGGCAGGATTCAAGGAGTGAGGTCCAGCGTGTATCCCGGCCAACCCAGGAGCAGCGGAGCAAGTGACTCACAAAGTCATCCTTGGCACCCAGTCGCTTTGTCCGGTCCTTCTGCAGGAGGCCCTCCAGGACGTGTCTTGCAGAGTTGGTAATATTTGGCTTTAACTGGAGGGGCTTGTTCAGAATGTTGTCGTACATCTCGGCTGTGTTTCGGCTGTAAAAAGGAGGCTGCAAGAAGGGGGAGAAATCATTAGGAAATTTGGTAAAGCATACATTACCAGTAGGGGAAAAGATCTCAACTGCCACAGATTAGGCTGGCCTTGACAAAGTTTTTCCCTGATATGCTTTCTTTGCTCTTGATTTTTTGAGTCTAGTTTGCAAGCTGGTATCAGGGGGGTAGATGCTAAATAAGCCATGTTTTTCATTCTCCTACAGGTTAAGTTTGATGGGAAGTAGTGAAGTCCTACCCTCAGACACTAAGCAAATGACCAGAATGCCTTCTGCCTTATCAGTTTTTGATAAGCTGATCCTAAGGGCAGACAGCAATGAACAGGTCTGCAAAGAGCTTGCATGCCCAGATAAACCTGGACTAAGACGACTAATGAGCTGAGCTAGCGCAGCCATCAGAGCAGGGCACCAGTAGATGACGTGATATGCTTACTCACCAGGCCATACAGCATCTCATACAGGACGGCCCCCAGGCACCACCAGTCCACAGTCCTGTCATAAGGCTGCTTATGAAGCACCTCGGGCGCGAGATACTGAAAGACAGGCCAGGAATACAGAGGTTAGAAAGCAGGGCGAAAGCAAACATATAGTTGAGTTCACTTGGAGGATCTGTTTCTTTAGGTTACTTCCTGCTGCTGGGATGTGAGGCCAACTGGCCGCTTAAGCGAACTGATATTTAGGAAGCTGTTGGATACCTGACAGATATACCTTTCTTGGTGAGTGAGATTCCTAGCAAGCAGCTAGTTTGAGTGAATGCAACACAAGGTCTTGGGATTTCTCAATTGCAACAATGCATGAAATTTCCTTGCACTGAACTGGACTAAAACCTCTGAGGACAGTTTACTTTTTCATAGTTTAGGACGTGATTGCACCTGTCTCTCCTGGAAGAAGGAGGTGCCCCATTGTAGAGTGCTCCTACCTCAGGCGTGCCACAGAAGGTAGAGGTCGTGCCATTGGGTTCGATGTTCTCCTTGCAGAGCCCGAAGTCAGTGAGGACAATGTGCCCCTGGGAATCCAGCAAAATATTCTCTGGTTTTAAGTCTCTGTAAAAAAAAAAAAAGTGAATAGAAAAGTAGGTAAGTAGGTGTGTGAGTCCATTTCACTTCACAAGAAATCCTCTACAAAATTTACTGGAATTGTATAGTGAATAAAAAAGGGTGTCCTTGTTCTGCTAATCGGCTCTGGATTTGGCACAATCTGAGTTGGCTGGCTAGTTCCCCAAGTGGCAGGAAGTCAAGGTATCTCAGCTGCTAGGGGATCTGGTTTTAGGTGACTCCTTGGTACAGAAATATACACGATTGTAAAGCTCCACCCAGGGCCAGGCCTGTCTCCTTTCTCAGTGGGAAGCTTAGGAGCTTCCACTTATAGGAACTCTTATAGAGCTTATAGCTCTTCAGCTCACCTATAGACGATGTTCAGAGAGTGCAAGTAACCCAAGGCACTGGCTATTTCAGCAGCATAGAAGCGAGCCCGTGGTTCCAGGAAGCAGCGCTCCCTCTGGAGATGGTAGAACAACTGTGGAGACAGAACAAAGTTAGTCCCAGTTGCCAAAGCCTGTTCACAATGCATTTGATTAGTCTCTCCATGTAAGGCTCAAGAGAACAATCGCAGGAAGTGGCCCAAAATAGTCTATTAACTATTTGTAACCTGGCAGATTAAAGGAAGTGCTAATTCTGTTCACTCTTCCCTGCTCTCCCCCTAGGTATCTTTAAATGACTTTCTTCTCAAACTCCACAAAGAAAGCTGGGCACAGAGACTCAAAGGGCAGCTCACAGTCCCTCTCTGCTCACCTCTCCACCGTTGATGTAGTCTAGGACAAAATACAATTTGTCAGCAGTCTGGAAGGAGAAGTGAAGGCCCACCAGGAACGGGTGTTTCACATTCTTAAGGAGAACATTCCGCTCTGACATGATATGCTTTTCCTAGGAAAAAAGGACAATGAAGACTTAGTGGCAAATGTCAACTTGGCACCTAAATTCCAAGGTCAATGTATTCAAGGAATAGCATTATCTCCAGCCCCTCTCTCAAGCCCATCTCATACCTCCTTCTTTTTTAGGATGGCTTTCTTCTGTAGAACTTTAACTGCATAGAAAGCTTCTTCTGCTTTGTGTCTTGCTAGAAGAACCTGAAATGTCAATTCAAAAATCATTTTGCTATCCACATTCAAGGAGAAGGTAAAATGAATGTATGAAAGACTCTACAGGATGTCTCCAAAACTGAACTTACCTTTCCAAAACTGCCCTTCCCAATCACTTTCAGAAAGTGAAAGTCGGAAGGTTTAGCATGAGGATTGGATGATGGGCCAAGGTTGATTTGCTGAGAAGGACTTGGCTAGAAAAGAAAATGTTTTCTTTTAACTTCTTTGCTTCAAAGAAAGATTATGTAGTAAAACAGAAGCAACATAAAGATACATCTGCAAACCACTAAGGTAAGAACATCATGCAGCTATAAACACATCTGAAACTACTTTACATCCATCCATGTTCATATTTCAAATGAGTGTACAACAGTCATGTGGTAGGCAGATATAACTTTTGTGTAACAAGCCTTTTTGTAAATACTGACTCAATACTTAAGTGCTGATGTCCTTTGCTACCCCACAAATAAGGTATTTCTGCCTTCATACTGACTTCTACATATGCTATTTTAATTCAGTGTAAGAATAGTGATTTACAAGATTCTTCCACCAATGCATGACAAATAAAGAGACTTACTGGAGGAGAAGGGTTGGCATTCATAAGCTCGGGTTCCTGAGGTTGGGAGATTTTCAAAATGGACTGAACTTCAGGGCTGCAACGAAAAGAACAATTCAGAACTTCCTAACTCACCACAAGGGGGCACACCAACACTAAGAGTGAGTTTCTGGCTCAACTTTCCAGAACTCGGTGTTTAAAAGTACCCAAATACACTACTCAGTTGACGAAAATACAAGCTAAAGAAAACAAATTCAGTAAATAAATTGACAGGGCAATTATACTTGGAGAAAGGGGTGGACTGGGCAAATATGAAAAATTTTCTTATTCTATAACAAGCCATCTCACCAAATTAATTTTAATGTGTAAAATACATTAGAACTTGAACAGAAAAGGGACTCCCCATTCTCTGGAGGATGTGGTGGTGGTGGGGGGTAACACGTCAATGTCTTCCCTGCTGGCAAATTCAAATTACTCATTTTTATTTCCCCAAATCACTCTACACTTACTGTTTGCATGCATAGGAGTTGCTGGCAATCTTCTGAATAAAATCGTTGAGGCCCATTCTCCTCTGTTTCATGAAAGCTGTGGACAAGAGAAATAAACATTTAGGCGGCTTCTAACATCCGACACCACATACACTCATCTGATTCGAACCCTTAAAAAATATCCACGTCTCGTATCGTGGAAGCCGATTTTATCCCTACACTCACCGATAAGAATTGCTACCATTCCCCTCATTCTGGAGTAAGTGAGGGTGCTCCTAGCAGCTTCGGTTTTCACCGTCATCGCCAGAGTC